CATATGGGGAACCCGTAGCAACCAGAACCGTGTTCACGAGAGAACATGCGGGTGCTGCTCCCGACCTGTAGGTGGGCGATACCAGCTAGGGGATAGCTAGTAGCATCAGGGACCATGCCAACATGACCAACCCCTGTGCCTCCCCTCAGGTCCCCTCCCCTACAAACATCAGCAGACTCTGCTCAATGCTGATCGGGGGATCCAGTGGTCTATCTCTAGGTGGCGGGCGCCAAGCATGCCCAGGAAGGTACATGAGGCCAATGGGGATTGAACCCACGACCTCCTGAATGCCACTTGCGTGCCTTACCAACTGAGTTAGGACTAAGGCAGCCGATTACCTTGTCGACGACATCTATGTTATTGTCGAAAAACCAACTCCTCGTTGGCGGTTGTATGATTGTTTTGTGGAGTTCGACCCAGGGTGGCCGGATTTTATTATGATCTTGTGATATTGGATGTATCAGATGAAGATTTGGATTCTCTCAATTATCATTCAGATTGGATATGTTCCTGTCTACTACGGTCGATTCTTTTGATGTAATTATACGTGGTAGTTGTAACTTTCGCTTGACTATGTGTAAAAGGGACTAGGATTAATGTTGGGTTTCGCGCTTGGTTGAGACCGTCCTAGTCGACCGACATCCCCTCCGCACCTAGGAGATCAGCGCCCTAGAAACGGACGACGTTCGGGTTCGCTTGGCGTTAACCAAGCGTATCTATACTACAGCGAACGAGCAAACGCCCTTGACTGACCTACCTCTGCAATTACATCTAAAACCTTTCACACGTGGGTCAGTAGCTCGGTAGGGATACGCCCCTAAGGGTGGTGACAACCCCTTAGGGAAGGAAAGCTTATGCCCCGCGGGAACCTATCCTGTCGTAGGGGACCGCGGGATGTACAGCTGGCGCACCCGGCCAGAGCGGCGAAGGGACGACGCAACCACGACCGTCTCGACGGCTCGTGGGATTAGTTAGGCGTCATTCCCAAGTTGTCTCTCATTTTGTTTTGTTTTAACTCCTGTGTGACATGGCCGGGAGGGCTTTCGCCTTTGCGAAAAAAGGTGGGAGCCGATGCGCTCGACACCGCGTTAAGCGCAAACGGGGCACGTGAAACGTAAGTGTGACAAAGTGTAGCGTTTTCGTAAGTGGTTGTTGAACAAAAAACGGGGTAAGGGAAAATTAATCATATTTTTGTCGTAAGGGCGCCCTTACAAAGTAAGAGTTTTGTAGTGGTGTGGAACGAGGCCCTAAGTCACCTCCACGGCCGTCCTTTCGTTTGCGTCCGTTTTGGCTGGGGAGTCCTTACTTTCGTGGGGCTCGCCCTTACCGCCCCGAATGTGAAAACAAATTCGCCATCTTGTTTTTCGTCATTAGGGAGGGGTGGAACGATGAAACCCTTACATGTAAGGGTTTTCTAGTGGTGTTGAACGAGGCCCATATCCATAGTACAAGGCAAACGAAAAACAAAACGAGTGCATCTTCTTGCAGAAAATGGCCAGACTCAGCGGTTTACTATAAATAGTAATGAGTGTCTCTTGCCACCTTTCATGGGCAGATGCACTCATTTCTTTTTTGTTTTGTGTGCCACGTGGCGAGGCCCCTAATCAAGCGCCACACGCGCGATGTTGCCGCGCAAGTTCAACAAAACAAGTAACACGTGGCCAATCTTTGTGGCCCAACGTTTTTTTTGTTTATAAATATTTTGCAACGGTACCGAAAGAGTCGCCTGTAGCACTCTTGGTGCCAACCAACTGAGATAGGGTCAGATCCCACTACCCTGGATTATTCATTTTTCACCCTCGATTAGGAAGATCAATGGTCAGAAATGAACAATAGGGGCTAGTGGGATCTGGCCCATTGTCAGGTCTTCAGCCAACACGGGGGCAAGGTCCCACTTGCGCACATTAGGAGATTTCGGCCGTTGATCTTTGCTATCTACGGTCAGTATCTCTTAATTCGTGCAAGTAACACAACGCACCCTTATTTTGGCTGTATTGGGCGGGAAATATAGCTTGTATACATTCATTTTTAGGGTGCGTTATGTTCTGGGGAAGCGGGGTAGCCCCAGGTGTGAGTGCGCGTGTGAGTGGGTTGAGTGTGGTGTGTGGGAGAGGGTTGGCTTTAGGGCCTCGCTGCACTACTCTGTGTGGTGTGTGGGAGAGGGTTGGCTTTAGGGCCTCGCTGCACTACTCTGGAAATGTGCAAACGAGAGTGAATCTTCTGCTAGAACATGGAAAGATACACCACCATGATTTTTGTCTTTTGGGCATTTGGAGAGTAGTGCATGCTCACACACCTGCTCAGTCAATCCTCTGGTTCCCAGAGCAATCAATGCTGGCAGGCATCCTCTAGACACCATCCAGTTTTTTCTATGCATCATTCTGTATCAATTTCTGTATGGGACTCTGGACCCTTTTTCCAGCAGGTGATGCTCCCCACCAATAGATGGAGCCTCTCCCCAGGTGCTAGCAATGTCTGCGCTAAACAGCATCGCTAGCACTGGTGGGTCTAAAAAAAAAAAAAAAAAAAAAAAGAGAG